ACACACGCACACACAACACACACACACCACACACACACACCCACACCACACAACACACACACACACACACCACACACACACACACACACCACATACACACACTGTTCGAGTCTGTCTCCGCGAAGGTGCACACGAGTCGGCGGTGGTTGACGAGGCTGAAAAAGCTCCGGAGGTCAGTGAGCAATTTGGTGCCGGGACCGCCGCTATGGCGTTCGTCAGGGCCGGGTCGGGCACGTAGCCGTCTCGGGACACGATGAAGCCGGCGAATTTGACGCTGGTCTTCATGTGCTGCGTCTTGGAGGGTTCAGGGAGACCCCGCGGACACGGCACCTCGTCAAAAACTTCCGGACTCGGGCGACGTGTTCTTCTTGCGTCTTGCTGCAGATGATGACGTCGTCCACGACACGTTGGATGCCGTTCACGTCCCCGAAGCACTTGTCCATGCGCCGATTGTGATGCTCGCTATTGACGAGACGCTATAGGGGCGTGCAGATAGCGGTAGCGCCCGAATGGTGTAATGAACGTCGTCAGGTTTCGGCTGTCTTCGTCCAGAGGGCACTGGTGGTATCTTTTGGTGGCGTCGAACACGCTAAACCACTTAGCGTCCGACGCTGTGATGGATGCGACACGCTCAGGGCGTGTTAGCTCCTGCCTCACGACCTATTCGGCTTTGAAAGGTCTACGCACAGCCGAATGCCCATGCCGTCCTTCTAAGGGGCCACTACGATGGGCGCGCACCACTCAGTTGGCTCCGTGACGAGCTCGATGATGCCGTCACGCTCGAGTTTTTCGAGCTCGTGGCGCAGGGGCTCTCTCAGAGCTATCGGCACCCTGCGTGGCGAGCGCACGGTGAAGGGGGGGCGTCTTCTCGCAGACGGATTTGGTATTCTTCTCCCGGCATGGTTCGTACTTTGCCGTCCAACACATCGGAAAACTCGTGGAGTATCGCTGCATTCTCGGTTACGTCGGAAGAGATGTGACCGTGAGGCAGCTCTGAGGCGCTTGGGGGCGCTGTGCTGCCCAGGGGCCTGTAAAGGGCGGCCCCGATCGGGCGGTGTGGTCCGCTGAGGACGGGCGGGCCGGCCCGTCTCCGCCGTCTCCGTCGTCGGAGGTCGGCCGTCCGACGGTCCCTCCCCTGCCGGGCGCTCGCGGTGTCCCGTCTCGTCTCCGGTTTCGGCACGGGAGGGCTGGCTGCGGCGCGGCGCGCGCGTCTCAGCCGCAGCTGGGTTGGGCGGCGGCGGCTGACAAGCGGCAGCGCCGGGCGGTCCGGCACCCCGCCTGACTGCATTTATCTGCCGTGGGTAACGGCCGGTACAATATGAAGACGGACGGTAGCGCGTCACGAGAGGAGTCGTGGTACTCCTGGGATGATATGCACCGTGTCAGACACCGTTACGTCATCCAGGATGATTCGGACGGGCAGACTCCCGCGCGAGCGCGTCACGTGTCCGTCCACAGCGCGGTGATGGGTCGACGGCGGCTGAAGATTATCGTTCATCTCGTCAATGAGTTCGGCAAAGTCTAACCCAGCGACTGACACGTCGTCTCCGGTGTCCGGAGGCGCCGTCATCCTGGCCGTCTTACGACCTGACACGAACACGCTGACAGTCGGTGCGGATCCCGTTGATGCGGTCGCGAGCGTAACCGCAGAGGCAGATGTCTCATGTGACTGGCGCGCGCTGCGGCACATCCTGGAGATGTGACCCGTTCTGCCCCAGTTGTAGCACGCCCGACCCGCAGCCACAGCAGTCAGATCGTGCATGACGGGTGCCGCAGTTTCTGCAGACCGGGCGCGCGGAGTCCATTTCTCGCTCGGGGGCGCCCCCACCCCGCTCGGCGGGGAGGGGTGGGGCTCTGCGATTGGAAGTTGACACCGTGCGGAGTCTTGGGGTCCGAAGGGCGGCCGGCGCGCCGGTCGACCGGGCGAGGTGCGGCACGCTGACACGGCGTCGGCCTCGCCGCCTATGATCTCCGTGACGTCACGCGCCGCAGCCTCCTCGGAGCGGCAGATCTGGATCGCCTGCTGCAATGACAGGAGTGGGACGGCACAGTCGCCGGGTCGCGCAGGCCCACGACTATACGGTCCCTGATCAGGCTGTCACGACAGACATCGCAAAATCCGCACTCACGGCTGAGGTCACGGAGGCGGGTGAAGAGGTCATTAAATGACTCGTCCCCCTGCTGGGTGCACATATTAAATGTGTGCCTCTGAATGACCTCATTGACCTGGCCGCGAGCGTAGCCGTCCAGGTGCGAGAGGACGACGGAGAGGTCCGATCGCTGGGAAGCAGGGATGTCGAAGCTGGCCGAGACAATCAGGATCTCGTCCGAGAGGCACGACCGGAGAATCGCCAGCTGCAGGGCTGGCGGCCTGCTACTCAAGTCCGACAACATCGCGTGGTCATCCCATCTCTGTCGCCATCTGCTGTACGTCGCTCGCGGTCACTGGTCAGATCCAATCGTTCCGGTTTGGCGTCTTTTGTCATCGAGTCTGGCACGAGTCGCGTTCCCCGGGGCACGGCACTAGTCACAGGGTCGTCCATGTCGTCCGGCAGGGGAACGGAGGCGGGATCGATTCCCACTGATCCTGTCGGCTGTGCCATATTCGAGTCTGTCTCCGGGAAGGTGTACACGAGTCGGCGGTCGGAACCAAGGCCGTCGGAACTAGACTGTATTTCTGTCCTCCGCGAGACGCTCTGCCATCTACCGTTCGGTCTAGATACTACTACTCGCTACTACGCGCGCTACTCGGTACTCGCGCGCGCACACACACACACACACACACACACACAACACACACACACTTCCGTACCTAAAGCGACTCTGATTATAACCCTCCCTGCACTGCCTATTTTGAAGGGGATTCATTGGTGATAGCGAGAGGGGATCGGGTGTCCTCCTTCAGGCATGCCGTACTCCTGCAATTTTTTTCTTCAAAACACTTCAAAACCGTTTTTCGTGCCACAAGCTCTGAAAAGAACATGATGTTTCGTATTCCAGTTACAGAAAGCAAACAAGCATCTTGAATGTAGATCTTACGCACGTGCCCCAGGGGTCAATGAAGTTCAAAATTGTTGTCCCTGGGCTGTTGAAACGCCAGCAATTTTGCTTACACATATGACAATGCAAAGTACACCAATGAACGCACTGTGTGTCGTTTATTGGAGGGAAGCTAGCCAGGATTGTGTGAGCCAGTTGCGTGAGTCTTATTCCTGGCATTTACTTCTGCTATTTGTTTCCCTAAAGGCATGTTGACGAAATATCAACACACATATATGTATATATATATATATATATATATATATATATATATATATATATATCTCTCTCTCTCTCTCTCTCTCTCTCTCTCTCTCTCTCTCTCTCTCTCTCTCTCTCTCTCTCTCTCTCTCTCTCTCTCTCTCTCTCTCTCAGGACCATAAGGCTATTGCTACTGCCTTATCTACGTGCATAACGTTCCTCGCAAATTCACTTAACTTACGTGAAGGTGAAAATTCATGCTTTTGGGTGCTGGCACACCAGATACAAACTTCTTAGAGTCTAATTCAACAGGAAGCTGCACCATCCAACGCGGAGGTCAACTTACCGGAGCAAACAAGTATGGGATATGTAGATTATGACCATTGTGTACCAGGGCTCGACACAAAACAACACTGACCATTTCTGGCTGCTGAGGACGCTGAAAATCCACCCTTTACTAACCCCTGACCACGTTTGATAGTACACAGTTTACGATGAGTCGATTTACAAAGATCACCCCGTTTACCGCAGCCAAGTTGAACAAGAAATGCGCAGAGTTCGTGTGTCGTTACCCAGTGATCACTGCGTGTACTTTATTATTATCAGCTGTTCAAGCATAATAACTGCATGTAAATTCAACTGACATACAAGCGGCATTCTACTACCACGCGACTAATTAATATGTTGAAGCAAAACAGGCATGGAACATGTGGCTCGTGAGCGTTTGACTCACGGGTCATCAACGTCCAAAATGATAATTAAGTTGCTGCTGACGCGCTGAAATAACGGCTGTACGTACTCAGATCAATATACAAATTGCACGCAATGACGAGTCATAATTGATACCGTAGACAATCAAGTGTTCGGCGTGTGAGTCATGAACGTCATATGTCATGGCTCATGGGTTAAAAAATACAAAATTGTTCAGAAGTTGAATAAAGGCGGTTTTTCTAGCGAGTCAGCAGTGAAAACTGGACTGCTTGGTGCAAAGGAAGGGGAGCCGTGGTGCTCAATGCTGAGCCATCAGCCCCAGCACTCGGTGAATTCCATCTGCATTGATCAAGCAGCCACACAGTGACCACAAAAATTCTGTTCAATCTCCAGCGGCCTGGCTTGCAATACCTTTAAGCACATCTGGTGATGTCATCCATCAGGTCCGCAGCAATACGGGTGCACTGGGTGCCCGCGCATACCCTAGGATTCGGGGGTGCCGCCCCCCTTTCGGCCGCGCTCCTTGCCTATTCCGCACAACCCCCTGCACCTTCTATACAAACACATTATGGTCTTGAATGTATCTGGGCTCTTACATGTTGATGGTGACGTTAAATGCTTGATTGCCAAATTAAACATTGCATGGCCCAGGTGGCCCACCCCAAAGGACCATCAACTGTGCTTACCGTCAACCGTCAGCCGTGCTTACAAGAGTTCCTCTGATCGTCACTGCGATCCTACTACTTACCCACGTCTTTCCATTGACAACAAACAGAGCCAGTTCTGTTGGAGCTCCAAGGTTATTTCTTCACCATATTTAAGGGATGCGATGAGAAAATTTTGATGGTCAAAAGTTGTCGCTTCGATGGATCTTGGATTGGATTCATTTTGTGTCACGTAGCGTTGGGTTCACCAAGTCGCTTAGTGGAAATTTACGTCGTAAAAGTTTACGTCGAAGCTAGACCGTGTTCCTCCGACGAGTACCAGTTTAAAAGCCGACATTTCATGCATTTAACACGTGTATGCACTGAGTAATACGCCACCAAAGACATCTTTGCCGTGCGACCTTCCAAAATGCCTGAGGGCTCAAACCCGTAGACCGTTCATCTGCATGTGTGTGAAATTTTACGAAATGGATAGTTCGCTTGCGATCGCCTGTTGTACACATTGTCGTTCAAACATGAGGGATGCGGTGCTATTGACTGGTCGATCTCATAAGCACGGCCGCATGACATTTACCTTGGAGTGAGCCAATGGACATTCAGTCCAGACGGGTAGCTCATGAGCTAATGAGTTGTAAAGTGGCGAGGGCTTACGAGTGTGGAGCTACCACCCGCCTGCCTCTCAGTACAGCACCGTGAGCGTCAAACCGACAGATGGTCACAAGCGCTGATTTGCGACTCGAGTCAAAACATTCCAGTCGCCTGGTTTATTGCTCCCTCAGGTGAAAGGAGGTCACTGCATCGAGCCTCAGCCGGGACGCCCTGCCGAACCTGTGCGGTTTAAGACCCGCAGGGCTGCATTGCATTCAAATTTTACATGGTATGCGCCAAAGTAACTGATTGTGTATTCGGACCAAAGACACATACACGTCTATCACATGTTATACAATCGATCGGCACCAGATGTATTTCTCCCCAGAGTAACGTAACGCACATAAAACCTTGAGCCTTAACCAGCACATTTCCATGCACCTGTACGGTTTGAGAAAACACAACAAAACCTTGGCCCGCGGGGCAATATTATTTTCAAGTCTTAAATGGGATGTCGAAAGTAACTGATTGCGTATTCGGACCCATATGCACACGCATCTATCACATGTTATATAATCTGTCTGCACCAGTTTGTATTTCTTCCCCAGAGTCACGTAAATGCGACTAAAACAGTAAGCACGTCCTTATCAAACCAACATTACAATGGGAGCTTGACGTGACGCTACAACACTTCATTGTAACACTCTGTCATACGTTGATCCCCAAGGCACCAATTTATCAGACACGACGGTCAGATCACGAGCGCGGAGGTGACCAGAGCTGCCTATGGACATCCACACAGCCACGCTGCATCCCGCTCACCTTCAGGGAGCAAAGACCGCAGCCGATCGCATTGGGGCCAGCAATTTCGCCTTCGCTTACCACGGCTGAATGTGACAGCATGCCGCGAGAGCGTCCATGCGTTCTGCGCACTGCGCCAGCGCAGACATGCTTCACGCGGAATGAGGCGGGTGCCGAGCCCGCCCCGGTGCGAAGTCGGCCGACCGCCCAGTCCGGACGCGGCCGGCCGTCACAGCCGTCTCTCGGTGGGCGGGGGCGGCGCCGGCGCCCTCACCGACGCCGCCCGCGCCGTCACAATTGCACGAAGACCGGCCGCCTTCTGGCGGCGCTCACTGCTGCAGATCTGTTGACGAGGACTAGCTGGGAACGCCGAGCGTCGGGGCGCCGGCGGCCGCGGCGACGGCGGCCCGGCCCCGCGCGGTCGGCGGACGGTCTGAACGACCGGACGTGCCGGGTCTGCCGGGCCCCTGCCGACCGGCTCGGCCCCTCTCGGTACCGACGCCGGCCACGTCGGCAGCCAGCGGGCGCGGTTGTCGGCTACTGCGCGTCAGGCCAGCTGCTGGCTCCGGGCGCGCTCGCCGCCGCCCGGCTCATCCACCTCTGGGTCGTCCCAGTCGTGTCGTTTGGACGAGTCGTTATACACGACCAGTGTCTGCGAGAGAGGACGAGCGTTTTGTTGGGGAACGGGGAGCGTGCCTCGAGCCGCGGGACGTGATGCTCTCCGAAGCTACGAGTGGGGACTGGAAACTATCTGTAGCGACGAGGGCGGGCGAAGGCTGCCCATGCAAAGAGCCGTGCGCGCTAGCAACAGGTCGGCGCACTTAACACTGACGGGACACCTGCACTAGCGGCGGCGAACACTCCTTGCGCCCTGCACGTCAAAACACGCGCACTCATATCATCCATGGTCACAGACGCGCACATAATTTGAATCGCTGCCATGCTCTCCCATCATTATGCATGCCGGTTAAACACGCATCACCACAACCGAAGCGGCCAAAACCGCGAAACAACGTCAGCCAGTTAAGCCCAAACCGCGAAGCACCCACGCCATCGGACAGTCACCGCAGCAGCGGCAGCGAGCAGGCGGTATCGTGCAGTACCCGCGCCCGAGCCCCAGTTGCGAAATCAGCAGCAATGCAGGCGACGTGGAGCACTCACGCAGCGCTAGCCACGGCGTCCGCTACGGGCCGTCAGCTCTAGCTGCTGGCAATCTCTTCGTACCCGAGCCAGCCCCTGCTCACAGCCTGTTACAAGCGAGCACGACAGGCACAGCCCAGTCACTGGCGGGCTCGAGGTACTCACGCGTCCACGAGCCGAGTCACAAAGGACAGTACAAGTCGAAACAACACGGACAGGGGTACGATGATCGCATCTGGCGCGGTTCTTGTCGTCGATTATTAGAAGCTGACAACGTGCGTTGACCACCAGGCGTGCAACCGCGATTTCTTAAACGGCGGGGGCCCAGTGCGGTGGTCGTCCCTTAGCTCACCCTGACGTTTAAACTACGCTTCTTTTGCACGACGAATTTGCATATAAAGCACATTGGCCGAATCAAGAAGTGACAGTGGATAAACGTAGTGGTAATTGTACGGTAGATAATGCATCTAATCCCACTTGAAACACACCGCTATGGGAACTTACAATCAGGACGGTAAAATACTTAATAAGTTTAGATATGTGCTGCAGATGCATTCAGTGCCAATTCCGCCAGCACTTGTATGTTTTTAAATAAGTGCCAGGTTATTTCACGTGAGTGTCCTGGGGATCAGATATTGGTTATGTGCCGATTGAGGCTGCCACTACATTTGTACAAGTTTAGTAGCTTTTCCAGGTGGTCCTCAGGGTTTCAAAGCGAATTTTCTCATCATTTATTATAATGCTCTTACGTTCCGATCAACAGCCCAAAGACTAACTAAATTAGAGGACGGGTCACTGGATACCTGGACTTCTACTGGATTCCTGACCAAATACAGGAAATGTGCTAACAGGCTCGTAGGAGTGCAGTCATGATAAAGTCGTCGTGAGTCGCTCGCCGAGGTCGGCACGCGCTCCGAGTGCCGCAGCCTCTCAGGACGGCTCGAGTAGTGATTGAGGGCGAGGTCGAAGCTACCTGAGCCAGGTCAGGCTATGTTGATCAAGGGCGAAGTAGGCGCCACCTGAGTCAGATCAGGTCATAGGCGATCTGCGATGATGACGCCCGTGATCTCTGCACTGGCTACACGCTGTCATCGCGTACAACACAGACTGCCTGCCAGCTGCGTGGCATGGGACAGTGCCACGGGACAAATTCTCAGAAGACCAGCCTCGTGAGACCAGCCTCGTGACGGGGCACTGGGAGTACATTCACCGACACGGCACGGTCCATAATCCCATCAGCTGTCCGCTAGGCCCCACAGAGCTTGTCTGGTGTACACTCACGTAGCCACGGAAACCTGTCTCCGATTACTAAACGTACCAAAACGACAAAGCGACTGCTACGCCCCACTGAAAAGCGTACTACTCGCTGCATGGTGACATGAAAAGCGGTGAAAGCAGGGAACGGGCCAAACGCATAGCTCCAGAGTACAATAAGCAGGATACAATGGAATGCACACCAGCAGGAATAATGAGGTTTTATTGTCATTAGACTAAAAACAAGTTAACGGGTATCAAAATTGTTTCCCCGGTAACTACGTCATCCCATGCCATTAAAAACCCCTCCAAAAACCAACATGATACAGGTAATAGAACATCGTAGAGATCGTAAAATAATTGCAGACGGACCCAACACTGTGGTTACGAATGATTTCGAGAAGCGGTCGTAAAACAGGTTCAACGAAACACACAAATGGACACCTGGTGCAGTGAGAATTGAATTTCGTGAGAAAGAGATATGAGAAACACATGCAGGTTCGATTCGTTGAAATATTGACAACATGCAGCCATCCGCTAATCTCATACGATTAGCGGATGGCTGTCGGAGTTTTAGCTGGTGGTAAAGGAGGTTTAGCTGGTGTACCAGGTAAAACTCCTTGACGGGTTAGCTGGCATTGGGCGCCCTGCCACGAGCCCCTCTGAAGACCGGTCTCCCCATCAGTCGGGTCTCGCCAGCTACCTGAAGACGGCGCCGCTTTGTCCACCTGCTCACCCTGATGCGGTCGAAGCCCGGGCCGCCAAACACGCCGTACAGCAGCGCCGTGAGGTAGCCGATGAAGCCGATGTAGAACAAGCCGTATAGCGCCAGCAGCAGGTCCACCCACCACACGGCCGGCAGCGTGCTCTTCACGTAGTCGACCACGAAGTAGACGTTGATGCCGACCACCACCACCGACAGGATGCTAGCCAGCACCTTCATGACCCTGTCGGCGTGGCACGCGGGTCAGGGCAGGCGAGGGACGCCTCCTGTCAGTGCGTGGGCGTCGTCAGCGCCGCCGTTCAGCGGCAAACGCGCAGCTTCGAGTCTCGTGGACCGAGCCTGGCACGGCGAAGAGCGGCCCCACTGCTGCTGGTATACTTATCTATAAGCGAAGAGCGTGGAATGCTTCAGTTTCACTGAGCAAATACGCAGCAGTAACAAAGAAGGCCGGCTGCCATGGACACAGGCAAGCGAAGACCACACGTGTCGCTTTTTACAGTCATGGCGAAGTGTTGGCTCGGGATTAACTTAACAAGTGAAATGCCGCAAAAAAGCGAAAAACAAGTTCAGAAAAGCTACTTCAACGTTATCAATGGATAATACCGCGTAATGTGGACAAGCCACGATGTGAACGATAAAACAATGAGAATTGGTAGGTGACAAGCAGTTTCACAGGTAAATCCACACAAACCACAAGGGCAGGCCACACGTTGGACGGTAAGACCATGGGAATTGGCCGCGACATGCAATTTCATAGGTAAATCCCGATATCATACGCTGGCGAGCAGGAATGCGGAGGAACCTAGAATATTTGCCGACGCATCCTGATGTTTGCCGTTAGATTGTCTAGCTACACGTATGGCGCGTGCCCTGCCCCAGCACCGTAGCCTAGCCGCGCGGATTGCCCACTAGCAGCAAAAATGAAATGGAAAGCCTAGCGCGCACCTGAAATGCTCATGACAGCGGCGTGGTGCTGAGCTGGGGAGCGGTGATCGGCGAGCATTCATGGTCCAGACAGCGCGAAACAGACGACACGAATCAGATGACACCGCGTGGCCGACGGATGTTAATCACTGGACTCTCACTCGCCATCACTTCGCATGCACCGAGCTATGCTCATGGTAATTTCAGCACTGGCACTCCTTTGGAGACAGCAATACAGTGTGGAAATAAAAACGCACACCAGTTTTAAATCATCGGTACGTACGTCGCATCGGCAAACATTCCGCAGGATCACGATGCAAGTCTGCAGGTGGGGACGCCCAGACCCATCCGCGTTCCCGCGTTGGGTGGCGCTCCAACTCACGGGCCGTTCCGGAACTCCCCCATGACCTGCTCCGAGCTGGTGAAGGTCAGCGTGGGCAGCAGGGCGAACGGCAGCTGCAGGCTCATCAGCGCGTTCAGCAGGTCGTTCATGCCCGTCAGGTCCGTGATGTCCTGTCGGAGCGACGACACATGGTGAAAATAAGGGACCTCCAACATGCCAATAGGTACTAGGTGAACGACAACTTGCAGTCACTTAAGTATATTAGGGCAATATTCAACGTTTCAAGGCAGTGACTGGCTTGTCTTGCCATTTGGACTGTCTTGAAGCATCGAGCACTCTCATGATAGATTCTTTTGATTGCTTGGTACTGGCGTTTCGCTGGTGTCTCCTGGTATGCTGAAGGCCAACAATTTTCACCATAATAGTTTATTACGTCAGTGATATCCTCCAAACAGGAGAAAATAAGACCAATCAGCGACAATGCTTGCATACATACGATTATTCAGGGGTTTGTTTATAGCTGTGCATTAGTTAGAAAGCTGCATAACACTGTTTGAAAAGGTTAAAAACATTGGGCCACATTGCCACATTCATTTGGTGGCACCAAAGGCTCATCCAAAGATTTCGATTGGCGCTCGTTGCTTATTCTGTGCGCGCTCAATACGAATACATAGAAAAGACAACACTACAAACAAAATCAATATCTAGCCACTATGTGGCGACAATTTGCCATCCATTGCTCAGCAAAGTCTTAGTGTTATTATGCAACGCACGCGTACGACAGCATCGAGTGGAGCGCCGGGTTTAGCGAAAGCAAACACCATTCTTACGCCTCTGGAAAGCTTGGTTTTTCGTACCTTGTAGACAGCTATGAAAAATGTTGGAAGAATGGCGATGGTACGGGTGACCAGGACTCGCTTCCACTTCGGCCACGTCAGGTTCAGGAAGCCCTGCCAGGCAAGCCCGGGGTCACCTCCAGCGACTTCTAAAGGAATCCATGCACTACGATCTGTTTATTCTCCACACGTAAGTCGAATACCACCTACCACTCGACATCACGCCCTCCCCATCAGCCTGCGCAGGCGGTCGTCACGTGACAGCTGCTCAGTCACCCTTCCATTGTGAACGTGCTGAGCAGGCATGACCGGCCGGACGCCACGTGCCCGCGGTGAACGACGAGTGCCCGTGCCAGCAGGTGCCTGCCTCTGTCGGCGCGCCGGGGAGGGGCAAGTGGGGGGGGGGAGAGGGGGGGGGGGGGGGCGCCGCGCAGATTACGCCGTTGTCCAGCACATGACGCCGCCACAGCGGCGGCCAGTGGTTTCCCGCCGGTGCCGTCCTCGTCACGCTCTGGGCCCGCCCAGGGGCATGATGCCGCAGAACATTCACAGCCGAATATGCGCATGGTAGCCGACCAATTAGAGCATTATGCGAGAGGCCAAGAGAGTGTGAATTTACCTGATATTTTAGCCACTAAGCGTTGTGAAATGGGACACTGGGACACTGTAATGAAATCAGCGTCATCTTCGTAGCAAACCGTGACAAGTAAAAGCACTTGAGAAATTGTGGCAAGACGGGAAAGTTCGATAAAAAGCTCGACAGATTTTAAAAGAAAATACACCTATGGAAAGACATGGTGTTCGGCTTTTTGGTTGTGTCTCATGTTTGCTTTACATTCCAACCGCTTTGACGGAACACTGCGCAACAAGATCACCCGCGTAACTCTGTGAAAGGCGTCTGTAATAGACCTGGCATAGATGCATGGTGCCATGATCGTAATGCGACCCAAACGTACCTCCATAACAATTATCTATAATACGAACATTATGCATGTACATGGCGCACGTCTATACTGCGCGCAACACATAAATCCACGCCAAAATGTCGTTCATGCGATGCGCCCCTTGCGTTTATACTTCCATGGCGGCCTGTCTTAGTAAATCCCCGGTGCACTCTCACTACGTACTGAGCTCAACACAACTGTCTGAAATACAACCTCATCATCTTCATTACGAACCGTCTGCAGTGGAACCGCTGCGAACATCCCAACTGCCTTACTGGTGCCACGGCCCCTGTATATCTCTACGGCGATATCTCCGCAAACAACTTCAGAGAGCTGCCTGTATCGCGTCCCCCTTAATGATCACGAGAGCAGCCCAAAGTTGGGTGAAGATAGCGGACTACGCATCTACGCATCCTGTGTTTATCCAACACGGACTGTCCGGAGTCTGACCACTGCTGACCTCCATGACGAACTGTCCGGAGTAGGTGCCGGTCATGGTGCTGCTCTGGCCGGCGGCCAGGATACCGATGGCCCAGATATAGAGGCACACGGCGCCGAACTGGCAGCCGAGGAAGACGCCGCCCTTGAATAGGTCGGCCTCCACCAAGTTCGTGTCGTTCTGTGGCGACGGGCGCGTGGGTTAGGGCATGGCCTGGCCTCCCGCACTCTCCCGCGGGCAGGGCAGGACCGGTGCGACGGAGTCTGTGAAACACAACCTGCACGGCGCGAACTGCCATTCCCCAAGCAGGGGAAACATTGCCGCGCATTATTGCCATCATCTGGAGTCGTCACCGAAGGGCTCCACGGGGTCGTACCGGATTTTCTAACCATGACAAGGCATCCTCAATACGCAGAAGAAAACTGTGGAGCAGCGGGTCACATCCACACAGCACGTAAACGTTCACACTGAGGTGCTGGATATCACTAGATTAATGTGGCATCAAGCATACATTTATGGACCACAGGCACAGAGCACGTGGCTGTTGGATGTGACACACTTGAAGCGGTGAAGTTTATCGTGACCTAGCACCGAAGGGACCGGGACCTAGTGGGACCACCAGACCTGAGATATCCAGGCAATCCAGATAGACGAAACACTGCCGCTGCTACGCGATTACAGTGAGTCATCTGTGTCATCAAATGAGTCATCTCTGATGGGAACGGCAAACTCGAACGAAGACCCTACGCCACTGAATGCTTAAAAGCGAATTGCGTCGAAGGACGACACACTCGCATGGAATGTATTTGGGATAGCCTGCAGTGCATGGGGACGGCAGTGGCCACTAAAAACGTTGGGGGAGGGGGGGGGGGGGAGGAGAAACGAGACATTTACCTCGCTTCCTTCCCAGCAGCCGGACAGGGTACATGCTGGTTTTCCGATATTGGGGGGCGGGGGGCAGTTTTGCCGCTGTAACGCGCCATTTCAAAAGTGGAAGTTCAAAAAGAACCTTCAAGAAATTCAAAATTAGAGTGGGACTTCTTTTACGCCGGACTTGTTAAGTTACGAGGAACTGTTGACCTAAAATGACGGCTATTTCCAATCACAATGATGGACTATCGTAAAGCGGCCTACGGACTCCAATCGCGTAGAGGCTGCCTAGTCGCTTCATGATAGTGCACATTAGACCCTACTGCATTTTACACACATCGATATCGTGTTGAAATGGGTGTGTCCTTAGCAACGGACTTTCTACCTCCTCCAAAAGTAACTCCATAATGTGTTCACGCTGATTGATAGTGGAACAAAAACACCCAAGAAGGAACTCAGCGGATAGCCTATTATTTCGAATGTCGTTTTGTGTTCAAAGAAGCGAGATTGGCTACAGTTCGCACATGCACAAAATTGCGCAAGCTCTCTGAATGTCGTCGGAAAAAGTTTATCTTCCAACAGCAATAATAAAACACTTTCGAGCCATGAGAATGGCCGCACTGAGGCGACGAGCCGGGCTACTTGCATACTGGGGATTCACGACAGCACGGCACATTGAAACGACGCGGCCCCCTTGGGGCCCGAAAGCAGCGGCGTATTCAAGGCGGGGGAGGGGAGGGGGCACCGGGGCAAGTTTCCCGGTCCCTTTATTACATCTTTATAAGTAAGAATATGCATTAGAAGACATGTCGGGAACTAAACTATCAGGGTACGCCAGTAAAAACAAGTAGATTTAAAATATCCCAGGGTCTCACACGCTATCCCAAAACTTTTGCGTCCATGCAACGCGCTAGAACCTATTTTTAATGGAGCATTATTGCAAAATCTTGCATACGGCTCTGCTCACCGCCTAAATCGTCACCTAAACCGGCGCGCTGTCAGTGTCCACATGCTCACAAAATACGACGCGCTTCCGGTGCGCAAAGGCTCACCGGAAAGAGGCCCGGGTAGAGCGAGCTGACGGCATTTCCAGCAGACTCGCAGGTCTGGTTGACATCACTGTTGGTCTTGCCGGACAGGCCCTTGGCGAACACGGCCACGACGAAGACGTTGATGATGAAGGACACGAGCAGCGCGACGCACGACTCGATGAAGAAGTAGTAGTTGGCCTCACGAATGCGCGAGCGGCGCGTGCGATCCACGCTGCGAGACTGAAGCAGACGGGCTCTGTTGCAATGAAGGCCGGCTGCGTGGCCCCCGACCAGTCGCTCAGCCAGTGAAAGCTGACACATCGTGGATGGTTCTGTTACACGAGATTGCAAACATTAGGGACCAGTAAGGTATATTTGAGGTAGCCCATCTGTGTAGGACGAACAGCTGGAAAATGACGCGGTCAAAAATGACAATGACAAAAAATATACGGTGCAAACGTCAGATAAAATCATACTAAAATGGCCAGCTACCCGACAATCGCATGATTTTTAGTTCAAGTAGACTGAGCATACAAGGCACTGACAGCAATCCATAGCGACTAAAAAACATGGCGACCAACGTGCCGTATGGCGCAGAACAATAGACGGACATCTCAGCTGCACAGCTTCATTGTGTCGTCAGCCTCAGATGCATGCCTAGCCAACAGTGCATATCCCATGTTATCGCAAGGCAAACATTCATGTTGGCCTCCCGGCGAGGTTATATCTCGTAAGTGGAACTAACGGCCACTCTATGCTCAAGACAAACACTTCAAGCATACCGATCAGGGCCCTGAAGATTCGGCCTTGAACATAGATTGTGCAAAAGGTATGATTTGGCGCCTTTTGAGGCTTTATGGCCCAACATATCGCTACGAAGAAGCCACTCCCGGCAAGCACGCGCCAGCCAGCACTTGACCTGTGGTCTGTACCGATAGCCAAGCCCAGGGGCTCGAGCGGCCGGGAAGACCGTGGTGTAAAGTTAAGCACAATGTGATGCCCGCGACCCGCAGCGTCACGCCTTTGTGACGCACGTGAGCCCACCCACGGTGTGGACAAGCGGCAGCAAACGACTCGAAGACGTCTGCCCGCGACACGGCGGAAGACGTGGCTGCCCGGATTGGAGCCGGGTCTTTCAGGCGACAGGTCCTGGCAGTCTCCCTGACAGAGCTATCGAGAGGCCGTACAGGTTATGTAAGTGTTCGCAGCGCAGGTCCTGACAGAGTTACCCTGACTAGTGCCGAGTGGAGGTACAGGTTATGTAAGTGTTCGAAGTGCAGGTCCTGACAGAGTTACCTTGACTAGCGCCGAGTGGAGGTACAGGTTGTGCGGCATGATGACGGCGCCGATGATGCCGACGGCCTGCAGCAGCGAGCGGCTGTCGCAGCCCGCGCAGCCCGGCACGAACAGGCCGCGCACCACGTCGGCCTGAGGCGGCGCCGCCACCACGTACTGTAACGGACAGGCACGTGTTGTCAGGCAGGCACGCGTTGTCACGCGCACTGAACCAGGCGAGCGTGAAGCGTGTGCTAGAGCAGACAGACATGTTTTGTAATACATAGTGAGCGAGAAGGAGACGCATCACAAGTACTGGAGACAATGGGTGCGCTTCACAAAACATCGCAGCAAACATGCTCGTTTCAAAGGTACTGGAACTGACGGATACTCGTCACACGTTTGAGGGCAGAATGACAGACCAGTGCATTCAAACTGCCACAGACAGACGCGCACCGTACGCAGAGGAAAACACAGACGAGCACGCAAGTTACACGAGTTAGATCTAGTCACGTGCATCAGATCAGGCAGCCATGCCAGCTTAAGAGGTGGGCCTTCTAAAAAAATATTATAATACGTTCCCTAAGAAGGGTAGAGCATATTGACGTCAGAAAGTGTCATTTTGTGGCCATATATATTCCTAGCGACCGGCACATCGCCACTTCCCGCTTTGATTTCGGTCTAAGTCAGAACACCAATATAGAGCAGCAGGGAGAGGGAAAGGGAACCGTAAAAGCAAACGCCGTTGAGAGTACCTAAGAGCACCGCACACTTGCCTCTCATAGGGCTCATGCTAATGCGAAAGCCTTGTAGAATTTGTATCACGTAACAGCAGAACCCTTGCAACAAGAGATGGAGCATCCTATGAATCAAGAGAGTGCGGCCGAACGTTGTACACCTTTAACTAAAAAAAGCGTCTTGGTAAGCCCATCCCTGTAATGGAGCAGGCGGCACGCGCCGCACGTGTCAGAGCAGGCGGACGCGTGCCAAGCGTCCGGCACTAAAGCCTCGTAAAATCAGTTACGACAGAGGCACACAACAAACAAAAACATAAAGCTGTGTGCTTTCAGTGTTTCTGGCCTGTTTTTTGGATGTTATAATTTCACAATGCGGAACAAAGCAATGCGGGGCCCAGGACCCCTGACGGAGACGCCGGGTCAGGCCCGTGACGGGGCGCTGGCAGACCAGTATTAACAGGCAGACCGGTATTACAACCGGTATAACCGACCGGTATAACAGGCAGACCAGTATTACAACCGGTATAACCGACCGGTAAAACAGGCAGACCGGTTTACAACCGGTATAATCGACCGGTATAGCAGGCAGACCGGTATTACAACCGGTATAACCGACCGGTACAACAGGCAGACCGGTATTACAACCGGTATAACCGACTGGCATAACAGGCAGAACGGTATTACACTGTGGAAAAACACGTGTGGTACGTGTGGTGGCCGAGTTCGCGTCGGTCAAAAAGGAACAGGGATCTCGGGGAAGTACATGTGTGGTGCACGCGCGGCCTTGCTTATCTGACTTAGGAATGACCTAGGAATCCTCTCAAGTATAATCTACAGCAACAACTTGGACCAGATTATACAATCTACACAAAAGACATGAATGCATACCTCGTATCGGAGGAAGAAAACAGAAAAAAACAGGGACAAGGAGGCCACATTTCACCTCACGGTACATGATGAAAGGCGAAGCAGTCGATACGCCGTTGCCACTTGTTCACAGTAAAAAAGCTTAAGGGGCATCTGATGAACTGACAATAGCCATAATAACTTTCCTCTCATGATAGGCGGCAAAAAGTGTCACATCTGGCTGTCAGTGAGCACAACGCAAACGAGAGAGTGCTATCAACCACTTATTGTGATGGATATAAGACGCATGGCTGCTTGTGTCACAGTTAACGACATCCACAGAAGCATTACCAGCAAGGCGATCGATTTCACAAACATAAGCTACCGGCAATACCGCTTGATCGGCGTCTGTGTGTGAACGCATAGCATGAGGTATTACGCAAGCAGCGCGTGGGTTTAGTGCATTTGTTAGCATCCAAACCCTCGGCTGAGCATCCCTTAACAACGCGGCACATCATCTCGTGCATGGCAGTGAAATAGGCGCAACAATTTCGTGGCCTGCGGGTGGTCATTCTTAAGAGGGTTTCTCGCGGCGTCGATGTCAACGCACGAATGCGCATTAAACACACCATCAACGAAATCAGCCACCTGGGCCATTCAAACCCTTCCAGCTCGGCACCTAGCCACCTGTTTCGAGGTAACCTTCAACGGCCGTCTAGGCCTCAATACGCAGGTGTGTATATGAACAGTCGGTCACCGATGTACGCATGGGAAGGGTCTCGGGAAAATGCTCAAGCATTTTTTTGTATCTGCTACTATCTTGTATATTTCTTGTATGCACGCTTAAAGAAACACTAAAAGTTGCATTGCTACCCCCTCGACCGTGAGTGTTTCCCCCCACCCCTCCCTCCTCCCACACACACCACAGTCCGGCACGCAGTGCATCCTCCGGGGACCAGTGAGACACTAATCCGGCAGTCTCGGGAGCAGCCACAGCAGGAGTTCTGCGGCAGGCGCCACTGCCTTCAGCGCCCTCACTCCCCAGGGCCGCCCGCGACCGCCCGAGGGCTGATAAACAACGGCCGGAGGCTGACGGCACCAATTACCTCGTAGCCGAACATGAGGGCCATCACGGTGATCAGGAAGCCGAAGAAGGCTTCGAGCTTTCTCATGCCGTACTTGTCGACCAGCAGAAATGTAAACGTGTCAGCGATTGTTATCAACACTCCACCCCACAATGGAATTCTGAAACGCGGAAGACAGACAGGTTACACGGCTGACATCAGCGCCATTCGTACGGATGCGTTTTGCAATCCACGAGAAGCAATACGCTATTCAAGACATGCTGCGCAGTTATTCGTATACGTAGAAATCTTGGTCGGGGATATAAACGGGAATGTGCCAACACTGATAAATATCAAGCTGGGCTCTGCTTAGTCATACACGATAGCGGGCAAAGAGTAAACCAACATGCCGACGCGATTAGCTCAACCGATAGGAAGCAGGTGACGAGAACAATAACGCAAATCCGCCTGCCGCAACCAACAGCTTCTAACCGACGGAGAATCGCCGGTGACTTAAGCTCGCCGCACCGCTCTCCCCCCGCTCGCCCCTCCACAATCGCCCCGACACAGCTGGCGCGGCGCGTAAATCGGGCGACGGGCCCGCGCCGCCGGCGACGGGCTCGCGCGGCCAGCCGAGGTTAGCTTACTTTTTGTCGGAGAGCAGGTAGAGCGCGATGGATGTGCCGATCACCTCCTGCATGTCGGAGCCGACGATGGCGATCTCCACCATGATCCAGAGCAAGATGCGCGGCACCGGGTGGTACTGGCGGTAGCACACCTCGGCCAGGTGCATGCCGCTGACAACGCCCAGCCGGGCGGCCAGACGCTGGGTCAGCAGGCCCAGGATCGTGGCCGACAGCAGCATCCACAGCAGCTGTAACACACGCACAGCAGCGTTCACAGCAGCTGTTATACGCACACAGCGGCGTTCACAGCAGCTGCAAAACACACACAGCAGCGTTCACAGCAGCTGTAACACACACACAGCAGCGTTCACAGCAGCTGTAACACACACAGCAGCGTTCACAGCAGCTGTAAAACACACAGCAACGTTCACAGCAGCTGAAGCACACACATCAACGTCCACAGCAGCTATAACACACGCACAGCAGCGTTCACAACAGCTGTAACACACACACACACACACACACACACACACACACACACACACACACACACACACACACACACACACACACACGCACGCACGCACGCACGCACGCACGCACGCACGCACAGCACGCACGCACGCACGCACGCACGCACGCACGCACACGCACGCACGCACGCACGCACGCACGCACGCACACACACACACACACACACACACACACACACACACACACACACACACACACACACGCATGCACGCATGCACGCATGCACGCACAGTAGCGTCCACAGCAGCTGTAAAACACACACAGCAGCGTTCACAGCAGCGGTTACACACACACAGCAGCGACTACAACAGCAGATATACGCAGCAGCGTCCATCACAGCATGTGACACAGAAAAGGGTTGTAACACACACAGCAGCGTCTACAGCAGCTCGAGTGCACAGCAGCTCCTGCAAAGGCAGAAATACTCCGAAGCATTTACAGATACTGAGAAGTACAGTCGCTGAGGCATACAGCAACACTCGAAGCAGTGGAAAACGCAGATAAGACGGTCGTATTAGCCTGGTTCGATTGTTTCGATTGTGCAACAGTGCAAACAATAGCAAAAGTGAATTACTTCTGCTATTGTTTCGATAAGGGCATGCGGCCGAAATATCAACCCAAGTATATCTCCATTCTCCTGTTTTTTTTCTCTGAGGAATAAGGCTAATACTACTGTCCCATCTATGTGAATAATATTCTTCGCTAATGCACTGAACAACTCACAGTGGAAAACGCGGCAATAGCGTCTGGCACAGCAATGGCGCACAGAGAAGCTGGAAGATACAGCAGTATCGACAACAGCTAGGATAGGCAAAAGCTTAAATACAAAACAGCACCCACAGCAGCTGGAGTATACAGCAAATTGGCTACCTGCTGTGCCTAAGGTAGCTGAAACATACACGAGTAACCGATCAGCCAAGTACGAGTAAGTATGACGGCGCTGAAATGCACAGCATCACGAGCAACAGCCGGGGTGCACAGTAATAAATAAAGCGACTGAGATATACATCAAACGTCCACATGTGAGCTACACAACAGTTGAAATCTGCACTAAATTTGGCTGATATTCACTACGGCTGAAATACATGTACAGTAAATGGAATACTAAACAACATTTACAGCGAGTGAAAAACACAGCGGATGAATGGAGCAAACAGCGTTCAGAAAAGCTGAACTAGACACCGAATGGAATGTATTGCTGCATCCAAAGCCGCTGAATACACAGCAGCTTCCAGCTGACCTGAAATGGGAGAAGGCACGCACAAAAGCTGACTTACACATCCATAATACGACATACAGCCCAGTGCCCGCAGCAGCTGGGATACGCAAGGTCACGGGCTGTCACAATATCGAGTGGCAGGCGTTGTCAGCAGTTCAGGCATTAGGAACAACTAACCCACTAAGTGCGTCATGCCACGCCAAACTGCTCAGTACCCACTAGTTTGCTGAGGCACATGCTTGTTACAGCCGAAAATCCCCAGCTGGTTCTCTGGGAATTCTAAGGAAACGACGCGCTAATAAAAAAAACATTAGCTCTAAATGGCTGCGCGACAACCTGCCGGTTTGTTTAGGCACCGTCCAATACTTAACATGCCCTGACAGATACCATGTCTTCACCTGGCACTTATGGACACGGTTCACACTCCACACCACAGCGTTCAGACGTTCTCACCCTGTAGCCGACAACCGTGCCAGACTGCAGGTCAGGCTCACCCTGCCGCCGACAACCGTGCCAGACTGCAGGTCAGACTCACCCTGTAGCCGGCAATCGTGCCAGACTGCAGGTCAGGCTCACCCTGCCGCCGACAACCGTGCCAGACTGCAGGTCAGACTCACCCTGTAGCCGGCAATCGTGCCAGACTGCAGGTCAGACTCACCCTGTCGCCGGCAATCGTGCCAGACTGCAGGTCAGACTCACCCTGTCGCCGACAATCGTGCCAGACTGCAGGTCAGACTCACCCTGTGGCCGACAACCGCGCCGGACTGCAAGTCAGACTCACCCTGTCGCCGGCAACCGTGCCAGACTGCAGGTCAGACTCACCCTGTCGCCGACAACCGTGCCAGACTGCAGGTCAGACTCACCCTGTCGCCGACAACCGTGCCAGACTGCAGGTCAGACTCACCCTGTCGCCGACAACCGTGCCAGACTGCAGGTCAGACTCACCCTGTCGCCGACAACCGTGCCAGACTGCAGGTCAGACTCACTCTGTAGCCGGCGACCGTGCCAGACTGCAGGTCAGACTCGATGTTTCCCGGGTCCAGGTAGGCGATGCTCATGAGGAAGCCTGGCCCCGTGAATGCCCACAGCTTGCGGAAGCTGAACAGTTTTTCCTGCAGGCATCAGCATCGGGTCAGTGCGGGCCGAACACGTGGTCGTGCTACTGCGCGGATCTGTGCAGTGCCGACATTCGAGCGCAAACGAAAACACATAGGGTCTCATGGACGGCAGCAAAGCAAAACACAGATAGAACATTGAAGTAAGAGCGAGCAATTGCTGCAAAAACACGCGCTTCGCTAGTAATCAATTTCCCCCCCCTCCCCCCATGTTTTTCAGAACATTTTCCATTTAGCACGGTGTAGCCACGCCAAACTTTGCATAGCTGTAGACAGTTGACTAGCAGATCTGACTTGCAGCTTAGTTGACTAGCAGTTCATAAAATCACATGTTGATCTCTTGGTTTACAAAACTGCATGTACCTTCTTAGCTCGATGACCTATGGCAAGTCAAAATCAGCCATGGCTATCAGCGTAAGCAATTCCTGGGAAATTGTTCAATCTGACGCGACAAAAAAGTGTTAGGAGAAGACATACATCTCTGAAAAAGCTTCGTAGATAATTAGCCGATTAAATTTAGGATTACGCCCTGGGTCAGGTGTGAAAGTCAGACCGAGGGCTAAACAGACTGCTTTTTCACTGGTGAACTCGTTTTAAGGAACAGCTGTTGACGCTTACTTCACATTTTTATCACAAGGACGTCAAAATGCACCGTATTTGAACTTTTCGAAGGTTAAAGGAGGTCACTGATCTTAAATGACCCACAACAATCTCTTCTTTTAAGGAGCATACCGCCTAATGTACTTATTCATGCTTACCTCAATCAAAGAGTCAAAGCAATCTCGTAAGTTTTTGGTCACACGAGCTCCTAAAGGTCAAATACAGTCAATGACATGAAAGACACACCGTTGACCTTGTGCTTGAGGCAGGTATCTAAGATAAAGACGCTTACACGAGGAGGTCTGGAAGCACTTCGGACACCGATCTGGAATCTGACCTTGCTTGACCTTATTTTAACCAAAGGCCATGACCTACCAAGCTGACCATGACCAAACTGACAAAGCTGACCAAGCTGACTGCCGGTGACCTGACCTATGAATCTCAATATTTGACACAACTGTGTTGACGTGCAGACCCACATACCTTGTGAATTTAGTGCTTCATTTGTCCGCACCCCTCACCCCAACCCGAGCGGGTCGCATTCAACTGACTACTCACGGGCAGGTTCAATGCCTTCAAGACATTCTGAGTCATCCGTGAGCTGACCGCGCTACCGCTTCCCACCCGTGACCCGACCTCGTCACCGCACCTACAGCCGTGAGCTGACCGCGCCACCGCCTCCCACCCGTGACCTGACCTCGTCACCGCTCCTACAGCCGTGAGCTGACCGCGCCACCGCTTCCCACCTGTGACCTGACCTCGTCACCGCTGCTTCAGTCGTGAGCTGACCGCGCCACCGCTTCCCACCCGTGACCTGACCTCGTCACCGTTGCTCCAGCCATGAGCTGACCGCGCCACCGCTTCCTACCCTTGACCTGACTTCGTCACCGCTCCTACAGCCGTGAGCTGGCCGCACTACCGCTTCCCACCCGTGACCTGACCTCGTCACCGCTGCTCCAGTCCTGAGCTGACCGCGCCACCGCCTCCCACCCGTGACCTGACCTAGTCACCGCTCCTACAGCCGTGAGCTGACCGCGCTACCGCTTCCCATCCGTGACCTGACCTCGTCACTGCTGCTCCAATCATGAGCTGACCGCGCTACCGCTTCCTACCCGTGACCTGACCTCGTCACCGCTCCTACAGCCGTGAGCTGACGGCGCTACCACTTCCCACCTGTGACCTGACCTCGTCACCGCTCCTACAGCCGTGAGCTGACGGCGCTACCGCTTCCCACCTGTGACCTGACCTCGTCACCGCTGCTCCAGTCATGAGCTCACCGCGCTACCGCTTCCTACCCGTGACCTGACCTCGCCACCGCTCCTACAGCCGTGACCTGGCCCGTTAATGCTCCCCAGACGTGACCTGACCTCTCACCACTCCCCTACTGTGATCTCGTTCCTTCATCGCTCCATTAACGTGCACTGGCCTTATCCCTCAACCGTCTCCTTCCCATCTAACTGTGAATTAGTCGGCTCCGGCTATGACCTGATCTCGTAACATCTCCCTTGCCGCGACCCCAACCCGGCCACGGGCTAACCTCGTCGCCGGGTGGCACCTCCACCCGATTGTCGGTGAAGTAGGTGTCGATGGGGGCCGGCGGCAGGTCCATCCGCTTCTTGAGCGACGACGGCGAGCCGCTGCCGCTGCGGTCGCTGCCGTTGCTGACGGCGGCCGCCGAGTCTCCCGCGCTCGACGTCATGGCGGCCAGTGCAACGGCTGGGGGCGGCTGTTCGGCCTGTCGAGGTCACAGGAGCGAGGGTCAACGCGGGCTCGGGGCCAGCTGCGACAACAGACGGCACAGGCGAGGCGGGCGAAAATACGCTACAGACTGTGACGGGACGGTGAGAGGAAGGCATTGAGGACCTCGGGTTGAATATCTCTGCTGTCGCAGGTGATGCGAGATGCAACTGGATAGAGCAACGCCACGGAAATGTCACAAACCACGTCTCACAAACATGCAGCAAACAAGCTTGGTGCTGTGTGCTTTGCTTGCATGTTTGACGTTTAATAATGAGACACTGGTTTTATTCCGTGCCTCAAGCCCAGTTTTGTCGTACTTATAGGCGACCTACAAAACCTGTGCCACGCTTGGCGCCAGTTCTTACTGACCGCCGACCCAATGCACTCAGTGATCGTTTACTGACCCGATAAAGCCACAAGCAAACTGACGATAGCGTCGAAAATGATCACCACACAACGGCAAGGTAGCTTTCAGCAAAAAATTTCAGGCGCGACTAAAACGATAAAGATAGCGAAAAACGGAGCACACGGGAGGCACATATAAATAAAGGGAGGACAAATACGCAAGTCACCCGTCACAATTGGGGCTTCAGGAGTGCTTTGAATGTCCCGCATATTTAGCGGCGTATACAATGTAGTGACGACATCAATAAATCGTTCTAAAGCGTCGTTTTACACTGCCATCTGGTCCTGGCAGCACCGTATCATGAATGCCGGGGGTCACGGAACCCATTCACACTCTCGGCACGCCCGACCATGAAAAGGGTGGCTGTCAGCCATGCCAAAAGTTGAACCAATGATCATACATGCAGCAGTGTATTTGGGCGGGGTGGTTGCTAACGGAGCGCAATGCCTCATTGCATCATTTGTCTTTCCGCGTTCAAATATTGCACAGCGTGAATGCTTACGTAACACCACTCTATCGTGACGGAACACTGACAACAATGTTTCTGCAGCGCCGCAACCGAGCTGTTTGAGAGGCTGAGATAGCAGCTTCAGGAAGGCTCATTCACGTGTCAAAAGCAGAGGTGGTTAACATTTCATACGTCCAATAATAGGCCTCCTAACACAGATGCGTGGCACAACGCTGGATAGCATAAAATCACAGCCTCTGAATCCATCTATAACAGCCCCAGGCCGGGCTACCAGTCCGCTATTTATTATGACACTGCAGCTCTAGATCACAAGACGCTGGATCGGCCCACCAAATAACAGGGAGAGAGCAGGGAGCGAGGCAGGGTAGAGCGGGAGAGTGCCCTTCACCGCGCCCCAGCCACGTCGCCTCATTGCTCAGGTCACGTGCAATGTGCCTGCCCGCCCCGTAAAACACAAGGGAAGTTTTTGCGTGCTTTCAGCCAGTGGCTCTCAACTTCATCACTGCCTCACCATGCCGACATTGCACCGAATCTGTCCACGGCCGGTGCGTCAGCCTAGTTTGGGGGAGACAGCCGTGTCCCGGCGGTCGCCTCGGGCCGGACCTGCTTAAGCGATATTCCCGCACGGAGCGGGCCGAGACCGCACGGAGAGGAAATCTGTACACGTCCGGTGGGGAGTGGTCGACGGCAGAGGCGAAGTAAATAACCAGACTACTGACGCGCAGTACCTCGGACTGAGACGACAGTGTGATCGCAACGCCTGTACCCACACGGCAGCCAGGTGCACAGCTGCTGACAGCAGGGCGACATCGGATACGACGGCAAACACCACGCGCTCGTTACAGGCTGGTGCTGGAGATGTAGCTAGAGCAGATGCGCTGAGTCACGTTTAAAGCGGATGTCCGGCTTGCATCACGCCCCATCACACCGCCTCGTTGTTAGGATCACGTGATCCACTTCAACGGCTCATAAAACACGACAGAAGTTTTTGAGTCCTTTCAGCGAGCGGCTCTCAATTTCAGGGCCGGCCCTGTCGTGTCGGAACATCGGGCACGCAGGATAGCGGTCGAGGCAGCAGCCAGAAGATCACAACCTGAAGCGGTCAAACCCAACAGCGGATCGCCACAGCGTAGCAACATGATTATGTTATCATATATTGTTACATGTTCGCAGATCAAATAATGGAGGAGTTTCCGCGGATACGTTTTGGTCAGGCCCCGAGCGATTTTGATCCCACCCGGCCACACCCACCAAATGAACACTGAAAGACCTTGGTGACTCCAAGGCCCTGTAACAACAGGTTGGGCGGCAATATAATACCAGAATATATTAGATTTCAAATTGGTGCCGGGACAGCGATCTCATATGCTGTTTTTATCCATCATTTTGTAATATCGCCACTTAAATAAAAAATTGGTTAACACATAGTGTCTGGCTATAAATTGTTATCTGTTATAGGGAATACGTAGATAAGCATCCTCGATGACCTAAAACTATGACTAAATCTGGCAATGTTACAATCATGGTGTTCCGGCGGCATAACAAAACTGTACGGTCCTGCTGGCAGCATGCAGGGCAGCACAGGTATTTTCCGCCGTTCATTGTTCGGCGATCCCGGTAAACATTTTCGTAAGAGTGACTACAATGACACTATACTGACGTTTATGTTATTATCTTCCCTAAATTGCGCCCTCAAGGAACCTACAAATAAACAAAACCTCTAATTTTTGGACCTTGCACCGGTGTTACATGCAAATTTGTCATAGAAGATCCATCTGTGTGTCCATCCAGGTGTATCTGTTTGTAGACATTGTAATCAGGACGTGTATGTGCAATTTTATGCCAACAATAAAATTTCAGACATAATAAGATGAAACATACCATGAACTTTCAGCGTCAAGCCATACACTGGCTGTCTTCAGGTTGTCACCTACCCTGTTTTGATGTTTGAAGTATAATTATCGGCATGCAATCAATCATAACTTTTTCTACTATTTGAGTCGCGTAAGCTTCAGATACGCAAGATTAAGTAGGTAGTATTTAATTCACGCGGCTGTTGACTGTATACCACCTCCAGCGGCAGTTTGGAGACCGCACATAGTCTTCAGTTTGGTACTGACGTAATGCGTGAAACAAAAGGCGCGCCTGCTAACAAAACTCGCGTATTTGCGAACCGCGCGGTTTCCATTTCACCGCAAAAAAACTGAACACAATCCAACGTGAGGTAACTGAACTGCACACAGTACATGTGCTGCCATCTGCGAATCGTTTGTGGCGAACCGCACAATCAACAAAGGTACCACGCGCGGTGCCCGCTTCTCGCGGATGACACGGCGAAGTATGCCGCTAGGTGCACACCGCAAACCGAAGGCACTACAATAATGGCATCACAATAGAAAATAATACAAAGAAATAAGTGAAAGCCAGGTGGTGACAGTGGAAATAACCACAGTGAGTAGGAATGAAAAGGCATAACCATGCACGCTGACGTTGAAACGTAGGACATTGAGAAAACCCACGTGGATGATTCTGCCAAACGCTATGTGAGCCCGCATCGCTGACAGTATTTGTATACAGGTGTCATTTCTCTCATCCTTAGCTGAATAATTACGCACACACAATCGATTATCATATTGTACCAAAATAAATAACGTTGGCGGCCCTGCAGCGACTCGCTAAATGCTGTTAGGCCGTCGACCATGGCCCGATGGGATAATGTGGTCATGTATACGATCATATGAGGGCAGATAGCTCAAACTGAGTACCCTTAAGACTGATGCCCAGTTCAAGCTGATCCAAATTTCTATATAATTTTCGGTTAGAATAGAACCAGATGGAATTGTGCACATAGGTAACTAAGGAGCGTGTAGTGATGCTGGATGACTTATATTCAATGAACATGTATCCGTTGCCACGTGGAGGATAATGACCTCGTCAAAGATTCAGTCGCGTTGAACCTCATGCACCAAGGCTTTTCACAAGAGCTGCACGAGATGAGGGATATAGCATCTTGCACGAAGCAAATGCGAGCGCAAACATTTGTATACACATGTATGATACAGGTTAGCACTACATCAACGATGTAGATCCGCCCATTCCTGGCTTCACTCGGCTCTACCATATTTTGAGCACGGATTCAGATTTAATCAGCCTTCGAAAACATTTATACATTTGAAATGGTTTGGATCCTGCCTGACCAGATGCGGTTTGGATCGGTTCGGACCGTTTCGCGCTTTGGCCAGCACCAGCATCGTGGCGCCAACCTCCCACACGTACACAAGGTGGTCGTGCCTTGTTTATCCTTGCCCAAGAGGACTACTGCAGCGGGTCTGTGGAGAACATCCCGTTTACGGAAGGTCACGCGAGGCTGGCAGATCCTAGTAGGATAATGCATAGATAAAGGGCAACGCCGCATGTCCAGGACAGTAGTGAATGGGGTCATGCGAAATATGTTAGGTTGTAAGAGTTTTTTTCTGAAATGGAATGCATCCTCTGATTGATTTCAACCGCAAGTAGCCTAGTCAATATTGGACTATGCCACTTTTCCTGACATCTACCATCTTGCAATGATAAGCGTCACTATTGCATGAAACAATTGACTTCTTCATAATGAGCAACCTTCGTATTCAACTTCACCGACGACTACACATTATGACAATAAATCACAATTACACAATGGTAAATAATCTTAATTTCATTTTTTATATGCCATATTGAGTTATTCATATTGGTGCGGTAGAGATGAGCAGCATTGTGCCAGGTGATTCTGCAAGAAGTACACGGTGCCATCGCCGCGAAGTTTGGAATGCTATTTCGGGCGGATAAATCATTTCCAAACCAATGCTGCTGTCATTAGACTTCGATTACCTTGATCTACCTGTTCCTAGAACCACCTCATTTTTATGGAAAGTAACCACACACTCTCCTTAACAGAAAACGTTTTTGGCTATTGTAAATATACTAAACTTTCACCGCTAGCCATCCTTTCGTCACCTAGAATAGGCGGTATGCAGGGTAAGTGTGTACAACCTACATTCGACCTGTTTGATATAGCTGTCACGTGCATCCACTCATCCGTAGATCAGTAGTCCTACGACGCCCATTGCGCCATAGAGCTGCA